ATTTGCTCTTAACTATTTTATTCTTTCAGTGCTATTATAAATGGAATTATTTTCTTAATTTCATTTTCATATTGTGCATTTCTAATATATAGAAGTACAGTGGATTTTTGTACATTGATCTTGTATCCTGAAACCTTGCTGAACTTGTTTATTGATTCTAATAGTTTTTAAGTGGATTCCTTAGGATTTTCTAAATACAAATCTTTGAGTAAAGATAGTTTTTCCTATTTCTTTCCAATCTGGATGCTTTTTCCCCCCTCTTGACTAATTGTCCTGGCTAGAACCTCCAGTACAAATGTTGAATAGACTGGTGATAGCAGGACATCCCCATCTTGTTCCCAGTTTTGAGGGAAAGCATCTGTTAAATATAATAGTATTCACTTTTAAATGTGATAGTTTCTGTGGATTTATACTGTCTGTTCTAAATCTTGACTTTTTGCATATGATTCCGTATCAGTACTATAAAGCAGCCTCGTTCTTTGTAAGAGTAGCATGATTTTCCATTGTATGAATATACCAAAATTTTTTTTAGTCAACCTTCTGATAGATATTTGGATGACTCTTTCTCTTACAAACCATGCTGTAATTTGTAGTCTTGCTAAATTTTATTTTGCACGTCTGTATATCTTTAGGATAAATCTTAAGAGAATCACTGTAATTTGGGTAGATATGGTCAAATTACTTACTGTGTTCCCACCAGAAAAAAATGTGTGAGTGTGCCTGTCTTCTACCATATTCTCACCAATATGGTTTGTTATCAGAATTTTTATCCTTGCCAATCTAATAAAGGAAAAAAGAGTATTTCATTATAGTTTTAGTTTGCACTTCTCTTACCATGAATGAGGTTGTATGTCTTTTCATATGTTTAAGAGGTATTTAAATTTGCTTTTCTGTAAATCTTTGTTTATAGTCTTTGCCCATTTCTCTTACTGTGTTATTGTTCTTTTTCTTATTGGTTTGTAGAAGTCTTTTATATGTAGGGAAATTAGCCTTTTGTCTGTAAGATAATTTGTAAGTATTTTGACCCTAGTTTGTCATTTGTATTTTGACTCTGCTGAATTTTGACAAGAAGAAATTTTAAATGTTCATATAGTTAATTTTATTGGGCTTTTAGTTTGTTTGTTAATTTATAGCTTCCAGATTTTGCATCATAGTTAGGTCTTTCCCACTCAAATATTATAAAAAGATTCTTTTATATTTTCTTTGAATTTTAAAGCCAGTACTATTAAATACTAAAACAAATTCTTTCTCCTTTTAAAAAGTATAACAGATTCCCATTTCTAGTTTTTTTGACATCTGTGTGGTTCTTCTAATTCTACAGGTGTCTCTAAGAGTGGCTCAGCTCCCTGAGTACCTTGAGATGTAATTTATCTAATCTAAGAATTTGAAATCCTCTCGGTTAACTAGATGATTTCTAACAAGTTCTTTAGAACTCATGAGAGAATTCAATTCTGATTTACTTATTTTATCCATGTTTTTGTTCACAACATATCTCTGATATATATTCAGAGTTATGTTCATATCTCTCATATATGCTCCTTTTTGATAGATGTATGCAGAAGCAAAATAAAAATTGAGTTCTCCATTCTTTCTGTCTCATTTCTACTTTCTGCTTAAATTCTTGTTTTTGACTATTTGTGTACTTCTCTTGATCTTTCTTGTTCTAAAGTCTCCAGAATAAAAGAAGAAGATGATTCTTGACCACAGTGCAAAGTATTTCCCATTTACTTAGCTTTCTCAAGGATTAGTTAATGAGCAATTACTACATGCTTAGCCGTGTTCTAAGATAGAAAATTTATCATATTTTGATTCTTTTAAGAGAGAAAGGCAAGGTTACTACATATAATAATAATAATACTATTGTCATTACTAGATAATAGTATTTGTCACTTTAGATATAGCCCACAACTTTTGTTTAAATGTTTTTGTTGTTTGCAAGCATGGTTGGACTGTGCTTGGGTAAAATACCCAGAAGTTCTGAAGAACTTTTTCTTCTCTGCAGTTCATTTTTCTGAGGTGCAGTGGTGAATGGGATTCTCAGAACTGGACAGACAGGAAGGCTAGGCCATATTTGTGTCAGCTCCAGATGTTCTCCACGGCTAGGCATGGCATGTTTCTCCAGCCACATGTGGAGGGTGAAGTATATTTTTATTGAGTTATGTGAACTTTCTAATAATGCTTTTTCTTAAAGGAAACAAGACCAATTTATTCAAATAGTATATGATTCATCTGTCCCTCTGGTCAGTTTTCAGTGTTTCCTTTGGCTTTTTTTGGTTTGATTAGTTAAATTCAAGTTGGTACTTGCCTCTTAAAGCTACTAAATAAATTCTAACTTTTAAGTGAATAGAGGTCCCAGCTTCTTTCACAATATCTTAGAGCTTAAAAAGCTACATACTAACAAATATGGATCTCCATTTGCTTCCTTGGGGAAAGCAAAATTGATCTTGATTTGAACCCCACTCTATTTCAGAAATTGGTTTTCCATAGTAATATAATTACAGCTGCAGTTTCACTAAAAAACTTCCTCTGAGAGTTTCTGTATTGCGTAGTGAGATTTTTTCCTACAATAGAACCAGTCTGTGTGGTTGATGTGAAAAAACTTTCATGTATGTTTCTTTGTTTTTATAACATATTTTTATCCTATTTGACTTCCCCTTTCTCTTTTGCTGTTAGTCTTTCCATATTCCCAACTGACCTCACCCAATTTGGGAGCAATAAGGTGGATGAACATAGAAAGGAAGGGAGCTATATTAGAGTTTTCAAGTCAGTGATCATTTCTGTTCCTTGTCCCAAAGTCTTGAATTGAACCAAAATCTACTAGTGTCTAAAGTATTGTTACTATATGCAGATCATGTAACATAGGATATTACAGAAAATATAATGGCATAGTACCTGAAAATTGTAAGCCAGTCATTACCTGTACCCTGGAGAAACAGGTGGTCTTTATAGCTCTTAATTAGAGCAAAGGAGTGAAGGTCATAGGAGTGGGTGGTATTCTGAACCATGGGAGCATAAAATAACTGCGGGGATAGATAATGGTGAAACAGAATTAACTTAACATGTCTGGACTGGAAAAGCAATGCTTAGAAGCAACAACTCAACTAGTAGTCAATGAGAGCATATCTCACACATTTGAATGAGTGAGAATAATGCATCATACATTAGATCAAATAACTTATAGTGATAAAGTTCAATAAGCTTTAGTAGGTAAGAGCTCAGGCCTTGATATTAGACTACCTGACTTTGCCACTTACTAGTCATGTGAACACAAGCAAATCACTTTATCTCATTTTGCATCAGTGTGTCTGTAAGGTGAGGATGATAATAACATACCTACCTTTGCTGAATATACACCCACACACACTCAAACTGCACTGAGAATATAGTTCTTGGCACCAAAAAAAGCTCTCAATAAATGTTAAGATTCTTTCCTTCCTTTTTCTTCTTAATCTTTCTTATACTACTATATGAGTATTAGAGTTTTGCTAGGCTAATTATGCTAGCTTTGTTAACATCAAATTTATATTAAAACAGTTAGCAATTCTGGCTTGTTTTGTGAGAGTTAACTAATTATGTACATTATTTTAGTTTTCTCCCAATGGTAATAATCACTCCATGATATATGTTGAGTGTCATCATCATCCTAACCTTATCAGATGTGTTTTATGCTTTCAGAAAATTACAAATTTACCTGTTCTCATTCTTTGTGGCATTTTCTTGTCTTCTTAATTTTCTTCATATCTAAATCTAATAAAAACTCTTTCTCTGTTTAAATTACATTTGGTCTTTGACATTTTTCTTTGCTTAATAACAGTTATAATTTCTTCTTTATCAGTTTATTTCATGTGACTTAAAAATTCTTCTGAGCTGTTTCTTAAAAATGTTGCTTAATATGTAGCCGCCTCTTCCACTTAAAAACTTATTTCACTCTGTGAATCACCTAGAAAAAATACATTTAAATGAAAAGATTTCATTTTTAAAATTAGAATATGTATTTGGATTCTGAAGGATCTGCTCTATATGGTAGAAATAGCATCTAAAGCGCTATTGGTATTAGGTAAAGTTTAATTGATACTGTTGCCACTTGGAATTTGGATTTTTCTTCAGCACTTACAGAAATGAATCTTAAAATATTAAGTGTAAGATTTCTCATCTTATGTGGTTTCATTTATAAATTTAACCTTAATAATTATGCTTTGTCTGTCTTCAAACCAAGACAGCAACCATTTGTCAGAAAAAGAAAGAACACTTAAAAGGTGGAGCCTGCTTAGTGTTCATTCTCAGTTTGAATTTAGAAAGGATAATTAGAACTACTTATTTCCTGTGACAGTATGATTCATGGTCCACTTTCCATGGAAAAGATCGTGAGATTAAAAAAAACAAAACAGCTTAAGGTGTAGAGACGTGAGGGGATCATTCTCCTAATGAAATCATGCAGTCCTTCGAGGTCCAGTTCAGGAGCCACTTTCCCTGAATTGACTTTCTTTTGCTTATTTTCAAAATTGGGAAATGGTAGCTTTAGGATTCTGGGGTTCCCAAAATTATTTTTATTATTTTTTGAATGGTAATCCACATAATGATTATGTTCTTTATTTTTATTCTTAATCATTTATTTGAATAAAGCATAAACAGAATCATCCAGAGCTTGAGCCTACACTGCAACTCATTAGGAAATTCTGTGGGGTAGGAAATATAATACATTTTTGAAATTGTCATCTGGCCTTTTCAGTTTTTTCATGGTTTAATTATAAAAATGAGTTTTCCATGACTTTTAGGATAGGAATAGGGGCCAAGATTTATTATACTGCATGAAAACATTTACTGTAAAATCCATATGTTGCCTCTGATTGAAATATTCAATTTGGTTTCAACAAATCAAACCCTCAAGTACTATCTTTTAAAACTTCCTTTATGAAAAAGAAAGAAATCAGGAAGAAAACCAAGGCCTAGAGCTCAACACTGTGTTATTACTTTAGTCTTTTATACTGTTGTCTTTTCAGGCTCATGAGAGGCTGGAAGATTCAAAACTAGAAGCTGTCAGTGACAATAACTTGGAATTAGTCAATGAAATTCTTGAAGATATCACTCCTCTAATAAATGTGGATGAAAATGTGGCAGAACTGGTTGGTATACTCAAAGAGCCCCACTTCCAGGTAAACTTTCCCCATCACTCTTCTCTCAAGTCCCCTGTATTCCCAAAGTATTCTTTAGTAAAACTCCAGTTTAAAGTGATGTTTTTTAAAAATTATTTAAGACCACATTTTGTAAATGAAAATTCTAACTTAGGTATTTTAGTATCCTGATATACTGAGAATAGTCAGACAGACACACATGACTAATATAGTGTCTGCCACAGATATGCAGCAGAATGGATTTTCCGATGAGTAGTTAAAAAAAAACAACCCTCATTCACCATCAGACCACATGCCAGTGATGGTTTCTCCCTGTGTTAGTGGAGTTTTCTTCCTCACTGCCACCCTTTCCCTGCCCTCCTGTGACCAGTCTTCCACATTTTCAGTACTGCTTCTGAGACTAGGGTGCAGTCGATGACCTCGGAACAAAGGAGAGCTCTGTGAGGGTAGAAACTATTACATGACGTACTTTCCATAGGTACATAAAGTAAGTGCAATTTAAGCATTGGTCTGTATCAGTGAAGAGTTAATCAGTTTAACAAGGAAGAATCAGTTTCAGGGAAGACAGAGGCGTTGGAGGAGATTGCTTATAGACCTGTAGTTAAGACAGTATGGTATTGGGGTAATTTTTTTTTTTTTTTTTTTTACCAATTTTCAAAGTAAAGAATTGTTTAAAATAGCAAACTCAAATGGTAATAAATGAGTTTTTTCAGTCCTTCTGTTTGTTAAATAGCATTGTGGACTTAGGAATTTTTCATTAATTCAAGTGTGTTACAATCCTTAAACTCTTTTTGGTTTTCAAATTTTCATGATTTTGACCAGTTGTGGGCAGATTTTTAGTCTGTGAATCTGAAGCTCATGAGAGTTCTTAACCACAGATATAAAATTGGGAATTATCAATGTTTAAGTAGTGGTTCGAGTCACAGGAGTGGATAAATCTGCCTAAAGGGAGAGTACTGTATAGGATGAAAACTGAGCAGCCCAGGTTAGAGATTTGAGTAACTTCTAGCATTTATAGGAATAATCTTTACATATGAATTTGTGATTTTTTTTTTCTTTTTGGAAGTTTTCTTCAGTCTCTTACATGTATTTTCAGAAATTGACCAGAAATTAGCAATTAAGCCCATATGCTGGTTGTTTCTACGCTGAACCTGTTGACATTTTCTCCCCTCTTTCTATTTTGGTTTATTGTTTTTGTTTTTTCTGAGGAAGATTCACCCTGAGCTAACATACACTGCCACTCTTCCTCTTTTTGTATGTGAGCCACCACCACAGCATGGCCACTGACAGACAAGTGGTGTAAGTCTGTACCTGGGAACCAAACCCAGGCCACCAAAGCAGAGACCACCAAACTTAACCACTAGGCCCCCAGGGCTGACCCAATGATTTATTGTCTGTGAACTTGTATTCCATCCACTCAAAAGACATTTTCTTTTAACTCGGCTTTACGTTGACTATACACAATTACAGGATAAATGAAAAATAAAAATAAATATACAAAAAGAATTGTAAGAAATTCCTAGAAAGCTAGATCAAGGTCATCCATGATGATAGCACATATATAGTAAATGTAGAAGGTAAAAGTATATTATACTCAGGACCATTACTGGTTCATTGTCTGCCCCCCCCCCCCAAAAAAATTATCTTTTATAGACGAAAACTTTATTGATAATGTAAAATTTCCTATCACTGATTTAAGATGTTGATATTTATCCATTGGACATCTTTTCTTTTCTTTTTTGGTGAGGAAGATTAGCCCTGCGTTAACATCTGTTCCCAATCTTCCTCTTTTTTTTTTCTCTCCAAAGCCCCAGTACATAGTTGTATATCCTAGTTGTACATCCTTCTAGTTCTTCTATGTGGGATGCTGCCTCAGCATGGCTTGACAAGTGGTGCTAGGTCCATGCCCAGGATCTGAACCAGCAAACCCCGGACTGCCAAAGCAGAGCACACAAACTTAACCACCATGCCACTGGGCCATCCCCTATTGGACATCTTTTTAACAGATGTTTTGTACATGTGAAAAATACACATTGCTAACATAACAGCTGTAGGGTAAAAATTAGGGTCCCTGCCATTTGAGTTTGTATAATAATTAATAACTAGGGAATGATGATAAGTATTCAATGATGATGAGTTTGTATAATAATTAATAACTAGGGAATGATGATAAGTATTCAACTGGTGATGACAATGGTGGCAATGAAATCCAGTGCCTCTATTGCACCACACTTGGAAATCTAGGTGCAATTTCCATTGAACATGTCACTTAAAAAAAATCACAAAACTCTATCAGTCTCTTCAAATTTTATAAAACAAGGAATATGGTATTGTTTGACGAGTAAAAGTATATATGTTTATATTTCTTTGAAAGGTTCTATATGCGTTTGATTTATCTCATACTTGGGAGTTTAATAATGTGTGCCTTGGAAATTTTTGGTACTCCACTGGGATAATGAACTAAGTTATTTTGAATAACTAAGTTATAATTTATTCCATCAGTAATTAATAACCAAAGGCTATTTGCATCCTTATAGTCACTTTTGGAGGCCCATGATATTGTGGCATCAAAGTGTTACGATTCACCTCCATCAAGCCCAGAAATGAATAATTCTTCTATCAATAATCAGTTATTACCAGTTGATGCTATTCGTATTCTTGGTATTCACAAAAGAGCTGGGGAACCATTGGTGAGTAAATGAATGAGCACTTTCTGAAATTTGAAATACTTATAGCTCAGTTACTACTCTCTTTTTTTCTCCTCCATAATTTGTATCATTAGGAAATCTTTATCCATATTTGTTTTATCAGTCCTTTCTGGCCTGTGTATAAATTACACAGCTGATGCTTTCTCAGCTTGATTTAGCATACAAAATTAAACCAAAGTAAAAAAAGTTAAACTGAAATAAAGGCCAGAAGAAGTTTGCCAATGGGTGGCAAAAATTTCAAAGATAACTACTTCATTTCTTTCTCATACCCTTTGAAGAAATGAACTTAGGTTGCTTGCTAATGACAGTATCAAAACACAAAAGAAATTTGTTATTAAAAATTGAAGACATGGTGGGACTCTATAAGTAGTGGAGTTTACAATTTCCTGCTAAAATTATTATTTCTAGGTCCTGACTATAGAACAGTAAAGTGGAAAAAAAGAAAAGCTGGGAACAAGACCGTCAGAATGCACAAATAGCTTTTCTTACTGCTGTGAGCTTCCTTTTATCCTGTGGAATGCAGCCTAATGTTTGTTTCATTTTTAAGGTTAACCTTAACATGGAGATTCCTTTTTTAAGGGTTGATATATGTCATCACAGTTGCAGGTGGTTTAAGGAGATTGGAATATTGAGACAGGAGAGAACATGGGAAAAGTAGGAACGATTCACTCAACTACCCTTAGAATTATTTTCTTATATGTACGTATTCATGAGTATTTAAGATTTCTTCCTAATAATCTAAAATCAATGATAATTCTCTTCCCTATTTTCTTTAGGGTGTAACATTTAGGGTTGAAAATAATGATCTGGTAATCGCCCGAATCCTTCATGGAGGAATGATAGATCGACAAGGTCTGCTTCATGTGGGAGATATCATTAAAGAAGTCAATGGCCATGAGGTTGGAAACAATCCAAAGGAATTACAAGAATTACTGAAAAATATTAGTGGCAGCGTCACTCTAAAAATTTTACCAAGCTATAGAGATACCATTACTCCTCAACAGGTTAGTAATAAAATTCTTGGCAATATTAAAAATACTTTTATTTCTTTAACCACACTGTTGGCTGTAACCACCAGTTGCTACTCTTTAGCTAAACAAAAGAGAAAAAACTGTCTTGTTTAATCATGCTGAATAGCCTTATTTTGTCATTGGTGAATTTTTGAATTTTTAAACAACACTATCTTACTGTTATAAAGAAATTAGGAAGGAAATCTCTCTGTGAACCCTGTGAACCCTGGCATTTCACTACGCTACCACTAAGTATCTGAAATGCCATAAAGCCTTTTAGTCATTAGTCTAGCAAACATTTTTGACTCCTATCGTGTTCCAGGCCCTGTGAGAGAATTAGGATGCAGTCCCAGTCACCTCCAGCTTGGTGTTCCTGTGATGGGCTAACTGGAGAATGAGCCCAGAAAGGGAGGATGGGTCCAGATTGAAAAGAATCTTGAACACCTGGTTTGGACACATTTGATCTGTATTTTGTAACTAATTTTTAGGTAAAATGGATTATTGAATAGGAGAATGTTTTAATGATGGTGATTATCTGGTCTCATTATGTTGAGTGAATTTCGGAAAAAAAGTGAGATGAAATTGTGTAACCAGGAAGCACATTTTTGAAGATGTGGGGTGTTTTGTGAAAGACAATTCTAATGAAAGGTTATGTTGTTGCTTGGGTTCAGATACCTATGCTGTCAGTGACTAGCTTATCTTCTCCGTGCTTCCTTTTCTCATCTGTATGATTAAGGATAATATTTCTTTTCTCAAAGGATTGTTATGAGGATGAAATGAGTTAATTCATGTAAAACTGTCATAGCAGCACCTGGCTCGTACTGAGCACTCAACAAGTAGCTGCTGCTGTTGTGATGGTGCTGATGAGGTGGCGGAGAGTGGTAGAATTGCCAAGAAAGAAAAAGTAGTAAAGTAATACAAATAAAGAATTGACAGTTATGACAGGAGTGTTAGAACTGAGGAGAGGGTTTTCAAGCTTAGATAACGTTGCTTCTACAATATCTATCAATGTTTTAGATGGCTTTAATCATTCAGGTTTATTCCAGAAATTTATTGTTTCATGTGTGAATGAAATAGTAAGATTTTTACATAAGACAACTGCTGGTGTATCTTATTTTCATATTGTTAATATGAGAATTTAAAAGCCTAGTCTTTGTATTGCCATACAATTCTTTGAAATAATATGTGTTGAATACCTGTTTTATATTGTTCTTTGGCAGTTAGGATAGAATATTTAGTCATGAATTTTAGTATGTAAATTGAACTTCTCAAAATACTTAGGATTATAATGAACTTTGGTTGAAATGAAGATAGAGACCTTGTCTTCAAGGAAAAGAATCATGAAGGAAATGGTATTAGAAATTAGATGTTTCATGTCACTCCTACCTCTCAGAATACCTTTATTCCTCCACTGACGCATTTCCATTTGGACCTGAGTAGACTGGAAAAGTAAAACCTGAGATTTGTTTATTAAAATTCTATGTTAGTTGTGATAGTTAGGAAGACTTTTCTTCCTGTGGTCCAAACTCCAGAATTATCAACTCACCATGACTATAATGGACTTTTACAGGAAAAATAAATTTTTGTAATATTAATAGCTGGGGCTTTGGCCCAAATTCCTTTGTAGATTCTGACCTGGTGAACTGGTCTGAAAGACATGAAATGCAAGGATATTTAGACCTGTCCTAGACATAAATTTTTCTCCATTTCATACTTTCTCAAACTCGGGTTTTTATTTAGCCTTTAGAACTGGGAGAGGGGATTGAAATGGGAAAGGAGAGGTCATCCAAGCCTAAGGCAGTCTCAGACCCATCCGATTATAAAAAGAAAATGGACTATAACATGAAAGCTTCCAACAGGAGAGCTAAAGCATGTACCCAAACTGGGGCATTTTTTAAGGTAAAAGGGGGGACAATTACTAATTATGCTGGAATAAAAGGCCTAAACAAGGACTGTCCTGAGCAATCTGTGGTCATCTTGCTAAGAGACACTAAAGGGAAGCAAGGGCATTTAGCCTCTTGAACTCCTCAGCTCGTTCACCGGGAGCTCCACCAGGCAGTCCTCCTGGGCCTGTCTCGACTCCTCCTCCGGATTGCCATGAGAGCAGAGGGAAGCCAGGAGCTCTCCCTACCAGGGCAGTGGTTTTCAAAGCATGGTCAGTAGATCATCTTTATCAGTATCATTTGGGGTGCTTACTAAAAATTGAAAATCTTTCATGAGACTGAGGATCTATATTTTTAAATTTGAAGATCAGGGTGAGTTGGAATTTGTAGCTAATTCTGAAATTCTTCAACTTATACATAGGTTGGGTTCCCAAAGGCTGTTCGTAATTCCATTTGTTTATTAAGGCCAAACTGATGTACCAAAAATAAAAGAAATTACAGTTCCATTTTACTCAAAGATATACATGTAACAATTCTCAACAAAATATTAGCAAATGAAATTTAATGATGTATTAAAAAAAGATAATACTACAAGTCCAAGTTGGGTTTATCCCAAGTATGCTAAGATGGTTTCATATTAGAAAATCCATGTATGTAACCAAACACATTAACAGATTAAAAGAGAAAAACCTCAATAGAGAATTTGATAAAATTCAATACCTATTCATGATTTTTTTTAAAAGATTAGTAAATTAGGAACAGGAAAAAACCTTAATCTTAGTAAAAAAAAAAAAAAAAAAAAAAACTAGAACAAACATTATTTTGAATACTTAACTGTTAGAATCACTCTCTTTAAAATCGGGAACTGGACTCTGAGCTGGTCTGCCCGAGACCATTTGAGTGCCAACCCCAGGCCCCCGTGAAGCCCAATTCCCACTGCACCCAGAGGAAAGAACCCGTCATAAACCGAGAGAAACTTGCCAAACTGCAGGCATAATTGTGCGTTGGTAAAAAGGGACTGCTCCAAGATGATATATTGAGTAACAGCTGATGTAACAAATACCTGTTATAACAGATGGCAAAACATCGTTAGTTCCCTGTAAAGAAACTAGGAATAAACAGTATCTCTGATGTTACAAAGGTAGGTATGTTTGTGCACCAGGGAATGGTGGTCCACTTTAACAGTTCTAACGCTCAGACATCTCTGGCAGCAAACACTTTCACTGTCACCAGCCATGCTGAACAAAGCAGCTGAGAGAAATGCCACCCAGCATCATGGACCAGCGTGATGTCAGCAAGCTTAGGGACCCTGGCGGAAGCTAAGTGGAAAAGCACCACTTGCTCTTGGGCAGCAGGGCGATCTTGTTCAGAATTTTGATGTCTTCCAACAGTGAAGCAAATGGAATTGATTCAGCCTGTAAAACAAATAATGAAAGTTAAAGAATTTTGACTGCTTTAAAAAATTTTCTTTAGGATGTAATGAAATACAGAAACCTGTAATATTTTAAGTTCTGAATCTCTTGGACACTGCTGCTTTTTAAATTCTCGTTTATACACAATTATTTGTTTGCAGTTAATTAAGCCAAAGAAGCCAGAACATAAAGCTTAAAACAAGGAGTAATAAAATCTTTGCCTAGTTAAAAAAAAAATACGAAGAACTAGAGAAGAATGTTCACTAGCACCACTTTTATTCAATATTTTATTGAAAGCCCCATAGGCACAAGAAGACAAAAATAAACTATAGAAGTAAAAGGTTTAGAAAGGAGAAAATAAAGCTTGTTTTCGAATAAATGATTTTTTGCATAGAAATCCCTCCTAAAACTGTAAATTATTAAAAATAACAGCATTGAGCAAGGTACTTGAAAATAAGATTAATAATTCATCCCTCCATATCTTCAGGGGATTGGTTCCAGGTCACTTTCCCACTCCCTGCGGGTACAAAATCCACAGATGCTCAAGTCCCTTGTATAAAATGGTGTAATATTTGCGTATAACTTACACACATTCTCCTGTATACTTTAAATCATCTCTTGATTACTTACAGTAATTAATACAATGAATAGCATTATACTGTATTGTTTATTTACTGTTTTATACTATTATTTACTGTTCTATACTAACTATAGTATAGTTATTATGCTACATTATTTAGGGAATAATGACAAGAAACAAAAGTCTGTACATGTTGGGTACTGATGCAGTCATCGTAGGCTTTTCCTTCTGTGGCTGGTTGAATCCGTGGATGCTGGAACCCATGGATATGGAATGCTGACTGTATACAAAAGTCAGTTGCATTTCCATATGTCATCAGCAAACATCTAGAAATGTAACTAAGACAGACATCATTTACAATAGTCAGAGAACGTCATAAATATTCAAGACCTCTACAAACACAAAGTAATATTATGAAGATCTAAATAGATATATTGTGTTCATGGACAGGAAGATAATATTGTGAACATGTCAGTTTTCCAGATTGATTTGTAGATTCAATGAAATTTCAATAAAAATTCCAGTAGGGTTTTTCATGGTATTTGATAAGATGAATAGCCAAGAAACTTTTAAGGCAGAAAAGCAGGAATAGCAGATTATTATTAATGTGTAGGAATTAAGATTCTGTGGTATTGATATTAGCATAGGAATAGACAGAATGATCAATGGAATAAAGAGTTCAGAAAGAGACCTACACACATATATTACTTTGCTATATGACAGAGATAATATGTCTTTCAGTGAGAAAAAGATACTGTTCTGTGAATGAAATTGGTTACTCTTTGGGATAATATATGAAATTGTGTTCCTGTTTCACTCTGCATACACAAATTAAGTAAAAGGAGACACAGTAAACATAGGAAGAGATATTAAAAATCACAGTGTGGGATACCATTTTTTAACGTTCATTTGGCAAAAATTATAGATACAAATCTATAGTACCTCTTGTACATTGCTGGTGGCAGTGTAAATGGATGTAACCACTTTGGGAGGAAAGAAGTTTAGCATTATCAGGGTTGAATGTTCACACATCCAAGACAGTAATTTCCTAGAGTCATTCCTATATTTGTATGGCTGGAAGCATATTAACAAGCATGTAAATCCCAAAAGACTACATGC